GACTTAGACAAAAATAATCAATAGCAGCAATGTTTTTAAGACCCAAAATCTAGGAACAGAAAGTTCATTAATAAGAGAATGGATAAATTGTATTGGAATAATACTATGCCACAGTGAAAGTGTATGAATAACAACTACATGCATCAGTGTAGACAAATCTTGTTCATATAAAAGTCACAGAAAAATTTCTTCAAGATGGTTCCATTTATACAGTTCAAACAAGCACAACTGTATAACTACTTAGGGGTATAAATATATGAGAAACAATTAAGGAAAATATAAGAATGGTAAATACAGGCAAGATTCAGTATTGTAGTTTTCAGTGGTGGGAGGGACATTTGAGTGTATACAGCATGGCGAATAAAGTTAATAATATTGTATTGCATACTTGAAAGTTGTTAAGAGAGTAAATCTTAACAGTTCTCATCACCAGAAATAAAAAGCTATTTTTATAACTATGTATGGTGCATGTTAACTAGACTTGTGATCATTTCACAGTGTATACAACATCAAGTTATTATGTTGTATACATGAAACTAATAGAATAGAAACTGTTACATATCAGTTATACTCATTTTTTTAAAAAAATGTGTGGATACTAAAGGTAGAAAATAAGATTACCTAATTACATCTTTCTAATTTTGCTTAATTTGTTTTCCTTATTAGCTAAAGTAGTTTTCAAGTGATATACTCTTAGCATGTCTGAAGCATTATTTTAAAAATTTAAGTATAATTGTTTACATAGTCTAAGGTTAGAACTGAACTGTTTGATGGAGTTATATATAGCATTTTACACTTAAGTTAATATTAATTGTGACTGAGCATTTAACATTTATGTTCAAATTGAATACTATATAGAAAACTATTTTATAATAAGTCCTTATCTGGAAACTTTCTTTTTTTTTTTTTAATGTTTTATTTATTTCTAGGAGAGAGAGAGAGAGACAGCGTGAGCAGGGGAGGGTCAGAGAGAGAGGGAGTCACAGACTGAAACAGGCTCCAGGCTCTGAGCTGGCAGTCAGCACAGAGCCCGACGCGGGGCTTGAACCCACGAACCGCGAGATCATGACCTAAGCGAAAGTCGGATGCTTAACCGACTAAGCCACCCAGGCGCCCCCTTATCTGGAAACTTTCTAAGAGGAATAAAGTACCAAAGGAATTTCATGATGTAAAAATTTCTTCAAACACTTGGAAAGAGAGCAAGAAAATAGATACGCTTTACTCAGCTATTATTTCATAATGAATATGGCATCAGCTGTATAATAAATATTATTTTTGATACCTATAATTATTATATTACTTAGTTTAATTTTTTATTTTTATTTTGCTGTAATCAAATAGAAAAGTTATAAACCAGATCACAAAAACTGGCTCACAGAATTAAAACTAATTACCTAATCCATAATGTGTGGCCAAATTGAAGTTAGGAAGTCTGTATCTTTAAATTTAAGAGTAGTTTAAAGATATTTGGAGTTCCCTTAACGAGTCTCTATTTTCAGCCAAATGTTGTGGATCTCAAGTATTTCAATATGTATTAGCATAAAAAGGGCACAAAATAATTAATTTTAGAAGTATTTTGTAGTGATGGAGAAACTGGATTTTGTCACTTTCTATCCTGCATGTGCTTGTTTTCACTTATTTGGTATACATCTAATTCATATTTTCCTAACATTTCCACACTAATGCTGCTTCTTTGGGAAGTGCTACATGTAAACCATGTTCTTACAATTGTATTTTTGGAAAAGCGTGTGGGTGGTGTTGGATTCACTTGAGCAGAATTTTAATTAGATCTACTGCATTCACTTTTATTAGAAGAAAGAATACTAATTCCTTTTTAGCATGCTGACCATGATTTATTCTGACAGAGGGCCCCCTTTTAATATGTTCTTCAAGTCCCATCATTTATCTTTCAGAATCAGTCATGTCACTTTTCTAACTTCAAAATGTTTGATAATTCCTTTTCTTTATAGTCAAAAGCTAAAATATCCTTATTATGGCATTCAAGGCCATTTCTGATCTGTCACTGAGATCCTTTGCAGCCTAATCCATCACCCCATTTCTGCTCCTCTGTACTCCAAGCAGCTACCCATGCAGAATATCCTGGTGTACTGGGTTATTCATCATTTCCCATGCAATTAGTTTTATGCCTTTTATCCTTCCTTGGAGCTCCTCTATCTACATGGAATATTCTCCCCATTTCTGCCACCCATTCCTTTCACAACTTCTGGCAGGTGGAATCAGGCATTTTAAAACCCAGTTTAGAAGACCTCTCTGATATTTTTCTTTTCTCTTTCTCACCCTCTTCTTTTCTGCCATAGGACTTAATCTGTGATTTGCTGCTCTGATTGAACCTGATAGTACAATTGATTGTGTCTGCTCCTCTACCACCTATTGAGTTCCATGATGGCCAGTTTTCAGTTTTATTAAATGAAATGATGTGCCATAAGAGCACATGTGGTTAAAAGCACAGATTCTGAAAATCTTTTGGGGACCCTGTATTCCTATTCAACTACCTCTTATCTTTTCTTTACTGGAAAACTCCTTGAAAGTTCTTTTCCTTTTATTCTTGAAAACTTCCATCAGTCCATCAAATCACCGTCAGGGGCACTAATGACTCCATGTTTCTAAATTTCATGGTCACCCACAACTATATGGCCAACTAATCTTCACAAAGAATGAAGAACATCCAGTGGAAAAAAAGGCAGTCTCTTTAACAAGAGGTGTTGAGAAAACTGGATGGCGATATGCAGAAGAATGAAACTGGACCACTTTCTTACACCTTATAGAAAACTAAATTCAACATGGATGAAAGACCTAAATGTGAGACAGGAGGCTACCAGAATCCTACAGGAGTATACAGGCAGCAACCTCTTCAACCTCAGCTGTAGCGTCTTCTTACTAGACATGTCACTGATGACAAGGGAAACAAAAGCAAACATGAACTATTGGGACCTCATCAAAATAAAAAGCTTCTGCACGGCAAAGGAAACAATCAGCTAAACTAAAAGGCAGCCTACAGAATGGGAGATGATATTTGCAAATGACATTATCTTTAATAGAGTCAGTATTCAAAATCTATAAAGAACTTACAAGTTCAACACCCAAAAATCAAATAACCCGGTTAAGAAATGGGAAGAAGACATGAATAGACACTTTTCCAAAGAAGACATCCAGATGACTAACAGATGGATGAAAAGATACTCAACATCACTCTCACACTGTGTAGATACAGTCCTTCAACAGTTTATAGTCTCTACCATCAAAATATGTCTAAGATTCTATGACTTCTCACCATCCTTGGAGTCACTACCCTGGTCTAAACTTCTCTAGATTATTATAATAATCTCCTAACTGGTCTTCCTGCTTTTATTTTCACTACCTACAGTATGTAAGGTATACATATCTAGTATATCTGTTATATGTAAGATACATAAGTATGTTTTGGATCTGATAATTACAAAAAAGCTTATAAAAATACAATTTCTGTGTTCTGGAACCTATACCTGTTCAAACAACTATTATTCCAAAGCAGTGATGAAATAACACATGAGTGGAAGGATATGGACTATAGAAATTCAAAACTGGAAAACATGACATTAGTGATGTTACCAAAAAGAATATGTAATTTGAACTTACTCATATAGGATGGCTCTAGTTTAAGCAGAAGAAAAGAATGGAGAACCTTCTAATCCATTAGGAAGTGAGTGAATGAGCAAATGTACCAAGACATAAATGTGGAGAATCGTCTAAAACAATGAGTAGAGAAACTGAATTCTGGATTATGATGGGAAAATGTGGGTATCAGAAAATAGTAAACTCTGATTGTTTAAGGAGTTTTACATTTATCCCAAGAAATTGCAGATGTATTGACATTTTGGGGGATGGGGACGTAGTAAATAAAAATGCTCCTCTAAGGAGCACCTGAGTGGCTCAGTCAGTTAAGCATCTGACTTTGGCTCGGATCATGATCTCATGGTTCATTGAGTTCAAGCCCCACGTCAGGCTCTGTGATGACAGTTCGGAGCCTGGAGCCTTCTTCCGATTCTGTGTCTCCCTCTCGCTCTCTGCCCCTCCTCACCTTGCATTCTGTCTGTCTCTCAAAAATAAATAAAACATTTAAAAAAATGCTCCTCTAAGAAAATATCATGACAGTTTAGGTGTAAATGAAGGAGACAGACTTCAGTCTTAAAGGACATGAGTAATAATATGTGGGATTGATGTGGCCATCTAGAAATGGAGTTACAAGGATATATTTGAGATATGTTTCAAAGTAAGAATTGATTGAACTTCATGTGTAATTAATCGGAGGGATTAAAATTTATACTGCCTAGAGTAAATGAGCTTTTATTCATTGTTTTTGATAACTTGGAAGTGGTGAATTTTTTATTCCCTGGATTTTTATATTCTACCTCAGTTACAACCCAGATTATGCGATGTGATAGTCTTGCATTTCACTATTTAAATTCAAAACCATCTAATGATATTTTGTTTAAACTGTAGTGAAAATCTGCAGTGCATAAATGAGATCAAGTCAGACCCAACTCAGCATATGGTGTTTTAATGGCTGGCATTGAAGGAGTTCTCTTTGCATAGCTGTTGAATTATCGCCACCATTAGCAGGTGTTACAATGAAATATGAACTGTAATGTTGCCAGTAAAATGAAGTGCGTTTTATAGCATAATGGAAACTTTTGAAAGACCTATAGTTTCCTTTAAAAATTAAGCTTTTTAATACTGTTATTTGATAAGTTCTTTCTCATAGTATTGTCTTCCTAGTACTGTTTTCCACTACTGTATGTTGAAGGCATTCTCAGAATTCCTTACAGATCTTAAACACGTTATAATATGTAACTTACAAATGTTTACAAAAATATTAACACATTTTATCAAATCGGAAACTTGTGCCACATACATAGAAGGTATTTAAAAATATTTCATGATCGAATTTGCAGTCATCTATAATTGGAAAAACTAAAAAGGATTTTACTTTTGTTTTGCAGTGATCGGCATGTTGGTAAAATTTATTCCAAATCCTCTTCCTTTCTGGACTATGTCAGGAAGTCTCTAAAGAAGCTTGGATTAGATGAGTCCAAGGTCGGTAAAACAAACAAACAAACAAACAAAAACACAGGAGAACTTTTATTGGGTAATGAACTGTGATGATACAAAATAATTTGCTTTCTACTTTCCCCCCATTTGTGAAAAACATCTAAATTATATTGAAACCATACCTCCATTACCTTTATTCCATTTCACCTTTCTGGTCAATGTGAGTGGTTTGCTGTTGTACATCTCTTGAGAGATCCCCCTTTAGGTTTATTCAGATAACATTTATCAATACTCAAATCAAAACAGAGTTAAGAACAAGATAACAAGTTAACAGTCAAAAACAAGATAAATAGGAATTAGAAGTAAAGTAAGAGGAATGAGACAGTAAACTGCATTTATTTAAAGATTTTATAATTAATTGAAATTAAAAATCTTAAATTCTAAAAGCCTGTGAATGGGAGAATCCTGGACAGTGATATCATCATAGAGGGCCCAAGCTAATAATTGAGAGCCTGGTGAAGATAAAATGGTAAGCTAGTTGGCTGGTAGTAATAAATATTCTAACACTGAGAAGAAAAAATAAACTCTCAACTCAAGTGAGTTATTGAGTAAAATATTAAGTTGAACTTGGATCACTCTGGTATTTTGAATTGATTATAAATTGAAATAAAGAATAAAATAGATGTTTAAAGGAATGAAATGGATTTCTTGAAAAGTGGTACAGATGTGATTACATTGTATCAAAGCTAAAAGGTATTGTTATTTATTGTACCAATTGTTACTTTATTATTTAAAGCAATTAGACTGTTAATAATCAGATTCCTCCTCTACAGAATGGCTGTTCAAAAGCATTTCTAACTCATATGATTTAAGATCAAAGTAGGTAATATATGTAAAATACTGAGCACAATGTTTTTACATAGTAAATGCAAACAAAAGATTTAAATCATTTAGTTTTTATATATAGTTTTATTATATATTATGATGTTATATATTACATATTAATATACTTTTATATTAATATTATAACATATTAAATTTTATGTATGTTTTTATTATTCTGATCTTTGTATACGTTCTGCCAGTAAAATAACACAATTGATAATGACTCTTGTCAACATTTTTATTTAGTCACGAAAGATTCTTCTAGTCTTATATAAATGAATGAGAGCAGGTAATTTTTGTCCTAGTCATTTTATTTCTGGGTTGTTATGTATTTATAATTCATTCTTGAGAGGTTAAGGGGTGGGCAGAGAGAGAGAGAGAGAGAATCCGAAGCAAGCTCTGCACTGTTAGCACAGAGCCCATACGTGGGGCTCAGATTCAGGAACCATGAGATTATGACATGAGCCCAAATCAAGATTTCAGTACATAACTGACTGAGTCACCCAGGTATTCTTTATTTCTGAGTTTTTAAAGAAACATTTTTAATAAATCAGACTGGCTTTCCTTATAGTTAGTCTTATTTAGTATATCTGCATTCCATATCTCAATTTTATGTCTTGCAGTAATGTCAAGGATGCAAACCTAAGCATTATTTTCACAGATGAAGGGCTAAGGGCTAAGTTTTTACTTAAACTAAAAATATATTATCCTTTGCCAAAAACTAAGTAGTAAAAATCCAGAAAGAATGTTACTTATCCTTCCTGATAGCTTTCTCTTCCCAGGTTTGTCTTTAATAATAAATAGAGTAAATGTTCCTTGATATGCTTATTATATTACTGATAGGAATATTAATAATGGCTAATAGTTACTAAGCACTTGTTATGTTAAGAACATCACAACATTGTCTCATTTACTCTTCACAAAAACACTTATGGTAGATACTATCATTATTATGAATGTAAAGATCTAGAAAGAGAGGTGTCAAAAAAGAGAAGTCATTTTGCCAGAGTCAAAGAGCTAGCAATTAGTAGAGATAGAATTTGAACGCAGATTCAGCTAACATCAAACCAAGTGTTAACCACCACTATACTGAGAAATGAAAATAAAAGCAAAAGAAACAAAGACTAAAGTAGATAAGTATCACCATGTAAAATCAGTCTTAAAATTATTCTTTGTATTAGCTAATAGGCAATAATAGTGCCCCACTGATTTTCTCATAAAACTATGTAAGCTCATTAAGAACACATATGTCAGATAAAATGGGTTAGAAGATGAAAAGGAACAAGAAACCCATGCTGGAAGACTTAGAGGGAAGTAGGTAGAGAACAAAATAATAAGGTATTTAAAAGGATATACTAGTAAAAGGAAGCAAATAGATGAGTACATCTTTTGGGGGTGGGCCGTTGGTTTTAATTTTAAGCAAGAGGAATTGAGAAAGTTATATCTGTCAGATCAGAGTAGTTGGAAAGAGGATAAACCAAAATTATGTTTTTGATCCAATACAAATTCCTATTATTTTCTCCCACATAATCAAGTATCGATGGTCAAATTAAAGTTTTGACAACAAGCACAATAAAAAGAGATTTGTGTATGGTTTCATTTTTAAAATGAAATGAATTTTCACATAAGAGTCTAAGCACTGAAAAGTATCAAAACCATTTAAGTTTAAAATTATAAGGAGCACCAGGGTAGCTCAGTGGATTAAGTGTCTGACTCTTGATTTCGACTCAGGTCGTGATCTCACAGTTGTGGGATGGAGCCCCATGTCGGCCTCTGCACTGGATGTAAAGCCTGCTTAAGTCAGTCTCTCTCTCTCTCTCTCTGCTTCTGTCTCTCTTTCTCTCTCTCTTCCTCTAATCTTCTCCCCTGCTATCTCTCTCTCTCTCTCTCAAAATTTAAAAGAAAGTAAAAAAAAAAGTTTAAAATATTAAATATACCAAACACTTAAAAGATCTTTGACTAAATTTATAATCACTTATTGATAAACATATATATAATTGGAAGTGTGGTGAATGCATCGGTGTTTTTCTAAACCTTTAAAGCAAGTCTCTTCATATTCAGAACTATGTAAGCAAGTAAAATGTCTAGAAAATCTCTTTAAACATGCTCTGGATACATTTTTAGTTACAAGAAATCATGTTAAATGTACAGAGGTAAACAGAAAACATTCCCAGGCAAATTATCATTTCAAAGGAGACCAAAGCTGCATGTGCTAGATATATAAGTGGCTCGTACACAGCTTAAAAGCTTCGTCCATAATTCCTGTAGTCAGTTGTGAGAGACAGCAGTGGGATTTTCTCTTAGAGCAGGATTTGGCAGTGCTATTGACATTTGGGAAGTCTTTGTTGTGGGGAGCAGTCCTGTGCCTTGAAGGATGTTTAGTAGCATCGCTGACCTCTGCTCATTAAATATCAGTGGTAGAACCTTAATGGTATAAAATGGTAAAAAAAAAATATTAATTAAAAAATAAGAGTCCCCAGACATTCATTGCCAAAAATTATCTGGGGGTGGTGCAAAATCCTCAATTCTCACCCCCCGTTGAGGTCCACTGTCCTCAGGTCCAAGCATTTGTCATCTTAGTGATTCAATTTGCAATCGTCTAACATTTCCATTATAAAACCCATACATTTTTTAAATGCCATTTTATTATTTTTTTATTTTTTAATATAGTTTATTGTCAAGTTGGTTTCCATATAACACCCAGTGCTCATCTCAACAAGTGCCCTTTTCCATGCCCATTACCTACTTTCCACTCTCCCACAGTCCCCATCAACCCTCAGTTTGTTCTCAATATTTAAGAGTTTCTTATGGTTTGCCTCTCTCCCTCTCCTTAGCTACTTTTTCCCCTTCCTGTCCACCATGGCCCTCTGTTAAGGGTGTTTCCCCTGTTCCACATATGAGTGAAAACATATATCTGTCTTTCTCTGCTGACTTATTTCACTTAGCATAACACCTTTGAGTTCCATCCACGTTGCTACAAGTGGCCAGATTTCATTCTTTCTCATTGCCATTTAGTATTCCATTGTATATATAAACCACATCTTCTTGATCCATTCATCAGTTGATGTACATTTAGGCTCTTTCCATGATTTGTTAAATGCCATTTTAGATGTTACACCATGAAACATGAGGGGAAGTAGGGAAGAAGCAATGATTCCGTTCTTACATTTTGAAGACTTTTTGTTCAAAACATACCCCTCTTTGATCTCTCTTTGTTTTGATCTAACCACTTATGGGTGATATTGTTTCAGCCCAGTATAAGATATAGGTCTATGTAAGCAGAGTGTTTAGATTCCATAGTAAAGTTAAGCCTAACTCTATAACCACTCAAAACCATAAATATGGGAGAACATCAGCTACTTTGTGTGGGATCTCTTGGCTTCACAAAAACCAAGAAAGAGAAGTATAGCCTAGTTTCATCAGAGTGTATTTAATAAGAGCAATAGTCAAAACAGCCATAGTAACCGAGTTATTGTTTTCTGAGCAATCTGTTTTTTAATCCTTTACCATGATGATTGAGCTCTTAAACTAACAACAATTTCCCTCTTTCTTCTAGATAATTTTTCTCTTGAGATTTTTGCTTATTGATAAATTTATTCATGACTCAGCTTCCCACCTGCAACAAATTTTCTACATCACTTTCATTACTTCCCCTCTCTGCACGACCCTCTCCCCACCAAGAAAAAGAAGATGTAGTTGATTCATTTGATCTCTTTCATAGTTGTCTGGATAGAATTTTTATGAACAGGAGCACCTGGGTGGCTCGGTCAGTTAAGTGTCCAACTTTGACTCAGGTCATGATCTCACGGTTCATGGATTTAAGCCCCATGTCGGGCTCTGTGCTGACAGCTCAGAGCCTATAGTCTGTTTTGAATTCTGTGTCTCCCTCTTTCTCTGCCCCTGTCCTCACATTCTCTCCCTCTCTTTCTCAAAAATAAACAAACATTAAAATTTTCTTTTAATTTTTATAAACAAACACCCTAAATCCAGTAAAGTAAATGAGGTAAAAGAGGGGAAACTGTACTTGCAGGAGGATTTGTACCTAAGTTGCAGCCTGCGACTCCCCAAGCAGTGATTGGACAGAAACCCTTTAAAATGGGCCTTAGGTTTTAGAGGCATTCAGTCTTTATGTATTTGGTCAATGAGGATATTTTTGGACA